AGTTTCCCGGCTGCTCCCCACAGGGACATTCCCCGGCCCTGTGGGCACCTGGTGAGCCCTGTGTGTGCAGCCAGCCCTGTCCCTTGCAGGTGAGTGAGCAGTTTGCCCGCTACCTTGACGTGCAGATCCAGGAGCTCCGCAGGGCTGCGGGCAGCACGGGGCCTCTGGAGCGGCTGCAGCAGTTCTTGGAGCCCTTTGTCGTCTTCAGTGGCCTGGAGCTTGCCCACAGCTTTGAACACTTCTACAGGTGAGGCTGCTGTGTCTCCCCAGAACCCAGGGCCTGGTGCAGCGTGGCCTGGTGTGCTGGGGGAGCCTGGCCTGGTGTGGCAGTGGCGCTCCTGCTTTGCTTTTCCTGAGCTGTGGAGTGTCCGTGGGTGCTGCCAGGCTGTGGAATCACATTTCCTGCTGGGGACAGGGAGGGGAGAGGTGTGTGCTGCCGGGCCCGTGTGCTGTGGGATGAGGCCAGGCTCGGGTCCAGCCCTGACTGAAGCTGGTGGCCATGGCAGGCTCTACCTGGGGGACCGGCTCCTGACGCAAGGGCCGTCTTGGCTGGAAGGAGGCATCGTGGAGCAGATAGGGCTGTGCTTCCCCAGCCGCTTTCCCCAAGATATGCTGAGCAACTTGGCCCAGTCGGAGGAGCTCCAGCGGCAGTTCTGCCTCTTCCAGCTGCAGGAGCAGGATAAGCGGCTGCTGGAGCTGGACACGGGCCTGGACGAGGTGAGAGGGATGTTCCTGTGGGGAGGCCGGATCCTCATGGGGATCCTGGAGCCTGACTTGAGCTGCCCTCGTGCCCTGTGCCCAGGTGCTGGGAAGAGCCTCAGTGGCAGATGTGCCAGAGGTGAAGGTGCTGGCCCTGTCCCCGCGCTGCTGGCCTGTTTCCCCGCTCTGTTACATGGATAACCCTGCGAGGTTTTTCCCGGCGGAGCTGAGCTCCCCACTGGATGAGTTTGCTGACTTCTGCCGGCAGAGTGAGTGCTGTGGCCCGAGGTGTGCCCAGAGCCTCCAGGGCAGCTCAGCCACAAGTGGTGGTGGGCTGGGAGTGCCTGGCAGGGCTGGTTCCCGTCCCTGGCACTGACACTGTCCCTGGCAGGCCAGAGCCAGCTGGGCTGGGAGTGCACAAAGCCCCGTCGGCTGCAGTGGACGTGGCTGGGCCACGCCGAGCTGCAGTTTGGAGACTGCGTTCTGCACGTGTCCACACTACAGATGTACATCCTGCTGTGCTTCAACAGCGCCCAGGTAGGGGCTGGAGCCACGGTGGGGCCAGGGAGGCAGTGGAGGCTGGAACGTGCAGGGCCGTGTCCTCCCTTCCCTTCTGGTGGGGTCTCCAGCGGTGTCTGGGGCACGGGACCCCGTTCTTAGGCGGGGCCTGTGGCCACTGAATCTTGGCCATTGCCCTCCCACCCCGTGCTGCAGGAGGTGGCTGTGGAGGCCCTGCTGCAGGCTACAGGGCTTCCTGCTGACCTGGTGCACCACGCACTGACACCACTGACCCACGGCCAGGGTGTCCTGGTGGGGAGCTGCACTCTGGGGGGTGAGTGTGGGGCTGGGG